TAATTAAATACGTTTTAAAAAATGATTGGCATAATTTTTATAATACTGGAAATGCAGGTATTGTATTATTATAATATTGTTTATTGAATTTTGAGAGAACAATCTATATTTATACGTTATAAAATATAATAATATTTATTACTACCAAATGACCATTTAAATTTTTAAAATTATTAATAATTAATATTTATAAGACTATAATTATACACTTATACAATTATAATAATACAATATTTATTTAATTATCTAGACATACCACCTAAAATTTACAATAAATAAATGTAATTAAGAATCTGTACAGTGTATACTTATTGATTATTTAAATGAAAATAAATGCTACTTATAATAGTGTTAAAAAAGAGTAGTCGTAGTATTATAATAATACCCATATTAGACATTTATAAAGTTCATACGTTTTCAAGTTGTTTTATTTAAAGAATAGTAAAATCCTGTATAACTTTCTTGAGGTAAACTAGGTCCTAGGTTTAAAAAAATTAAGATAAACTGAATCCCCTTCAAAAAAAAAAAAAAAAATAAAAAAAAAATAGTACTATTATACGTGTACGTTTTTCTTCTTATTTTTATACCTAGGGTTAAATCTATCTGTGTTAAACATGCGTGACTAAATATATGTTTTTTTTTTTTATTTTGTCAATTTTTCTTTTAATATAACCATTTCAATTCATAATCATGGATTCCATAATCCTCCGCTATTTTAGTTAGTATTAAATATTAATTGTTTTATAACCTAGGTACTTGCATGGATTAAATATTATTATATAGTTTTAAAATTTTAACTTTTCCCTCCCTTATATTTCTGCGGGCGCCCTTGTTCATAATGTTTCCATATTTATGAACAAAAATTATGTCACAATAATTTATTTTTTATTATGTTCAGGTTAAAAATGCATTTGAAATGTTATTAACAAATTTCAGTTACATCTAATATATTTTTATTTTATATTTAATTTTTTTTTTTTTTTTTGTCTCTTGTTTTCTTCTGTTTAATAACTTATTTCCTGTGTTTTTTTTGTGTTTGTATTTATTTAAATGTCTTTAAATAGATTCTTAAGCGTGTAGATGCTTAGATGAAAACAATAAATTTAACATTCTATTTAGTTTCTAATGAAATGATTCGCAGCTATTTATTGCCGCCTTCAACTCAATTCAAACATTAAGACGGAATAATTCCTTCGGATCAATATAATTTATTTCAAAATCATTATTTAAATACGCTAATATTTTGTTCTTATAGGTATTGTATTACCATAATAAATTCTAAAAAGCACTAATCATTGATTAATTTTATTAGGCTTAGGAAAGTAAACCTAAGAATTATTATTTATATACTATAATAATATTAAGTATATATAAAAAAAAAATTAAATTATATAATAATTATCCAGATTCACTTTACTTTACACATCTAATTATTTGAAACTCAAATTACCTAGCATTTTTTTTTTTTTTTTTTAATAACTATATATCTACTTACCTGATCTGTGTACATACATTATATTATAAATTTAATTTTTTTTGGAAATATCACTTAATTCATGAGTTTTTTTACAAAAAATTATTTATTTTATGGTTCACTAAAATATAATAGATTAATCATGAATCAAAAAATTAATATTTAAAGCACTTACTAGATTGATTCATTAAACGTTCAGTGGTTGTTAATGACGTCTATCATTAGTGTTATTATAATAAATATTTAAACAATTCTTACAATTAAATGTCTTAATTTTATGTTTATATTATATTATAATTTATAATCATTTTAAAAATAATACATAATAAAATATTCAATACATAAACTATAAGATATGTTTTCAATTGGCCTCTACATGATTGAATTATAACTGTAGTAATGCTAAATGTGTGCTAAATGTCGCCATACGTATACAATTATTATTCATAAAATAATTATAATTTATGGTAATATCATTAATTCATTTGATTATTATCAATAATTCGGACATGTCAGCCTAATATTAATTAAATTAAAACACTTGAAACATAATAAAAATACGTCGTGAAAATTAATATAAGACAATTAATTATCATGTATCATAAATCATTATATTATCGTTTATACCACATAGACGTTATAAGACATTTTGGTCACGTCATATCACATACGTTATATCATAGAATGTTTTTGAAAATTAAAAAACTTCAAAGAACCACGTGTATTCGATTATAGTAAAACAATTGTAACTATAAAATTGATACGTATATTATCAAATTACTTTTATGGCTTTACCTTACGTACCTACTTAAATCTAAATTATGTTAATTTAAGTTTTAAAATTTTTACTGATCAGTTTACAGATTAGATAAAAATATTGGGATTTCATTTATTCCGTTACACTTGAATTTTAAAAGGTATACGGATTCTGCCAGTATTGATCTCGTCACCTAATCTAACAGGAAAAAATTAATCTACTCGAACAAAAATTATATTTTGATTTTTCTTAGGTATACAACTTTATTTTAAATTACATTATACTAAATAGATAGGTACATCATTTTGTTTGTAATACCTGTATAAAAATATCGTGCATAAAATTTCTTCTGACATATTGACTTGTTAACTCAGTAATTTTATTGATGATAATATCTAACGTAAAGAACAGCGCATAAAACAATTAATATCAGTTGTCCTATACTAATTAGGTTGATACATGATATTATCATCTGTTTTACAAATATGGTTTATTCATTTTTTTTTTTTTTTTTTTGCTGCATTTTATTTATAATTTATCTATTTTTACGTAAGTACCTACCTATATATTCGAGTTGCTATTTCCAAAAATATTATTCACATTTTTAAGTTGAATATACATTTATTTTTAATAAAGTTAATAAGGAATTATATAAGATGATTTTCTAGTTTCTACAAATGAAAATTGGTAGGTGGTGAAATTGATATAGGTTGATATATTGTTTTTAGACAACCCGTACTCTGCCAGAAATCGATGATATGTTGACAGAATCGATAGGTCCCCACAAATGTTATTGATTGGCTGCACTATTGGTGTCTACTACCCCATGCTACTGTGATTTTTACGATTTACAACCTTATAAGTAGTGGGTTTCCCAGTAACTTATGAGCCTGATATCTGTCTCATATTGTACTGACGAGGTACGATGACTGACGACTATCGTTATTTGGTATTTCTTAACAGCATTAATATGATGACCATAATAATAATAATAATAATAATAAACGGAACAAACATTTTCGGCTTAGCTCTAAAAGTTTGTTTAGTAATATTTTTATATTTTGAAGATGTTATGAATACAATTTGGCTCGTATCGTATGCTTGTTAAACGATGTACATAGTCGGGGGAGCCAAAGGATGACAGACGACAGTGGGCTCTTATTTTAAGTCTTAGTGTAATTGTAATTATATATTTACAGGTGTAACTGTCAAAATATGTCAATAGGTATAAAGTATATATACGTATACCATATTATACGGAATGTTACATATTTCTTACGTTTATCATTATCATTCGTCGGTATGGTTGTCAGTCGACACTCGATGCTCGTTCCACATAAACCGTTCATTAAGTTATAAATAACTTATAATTATGTATACAACTTTAAAAAAAAAAAATAAGGAAAATATTATTTTTATCTTTTTGCGTATAGGTTTTTTTTTTTTTTTAATGCCATTATCATTACAATATGAAATTATCTAACAGGATTAAAACGGGTTTGTCGGGTCAACGAGACATGGTCCTCAAAAAAGGGACAAACTTGTTTCAAATATAAATTCTGTATTGGCTGAACCTTTTATTAATAATTAGATATTTATAAAATTAGGAATAGGTTACAGTGGTTACACGTATAATTGAAAGATAGGTATAATACCTAACAACATTAATAGACAAAACTAAAAATCTATAGAAGACTTAGTTAAGAGTAACCTTTTATTCGATTTATACACTTTTTAACCGAGTAGGATAATAGTATTTTTATCAACAATTAAAAGCCATTTCACAGTCAAAAAAAAAAAATGAATTTTTTGAAAATTATATCACATAATATATATTATAATGTCAAATATTGACCGTTAGTTGGTTATCGACTTATCGTTTTAAAATTATGATAAAACCTACTTTGTAAAATATTTCGAAGCTAAATATTTATTTAATGTATTCTTTTTTTTGTTATTTATTTCCAGTTATGAAGGGATATTTTACTTTTGATCTAAAATATCAACTAAATACAATTTGCTACCAGAAGGCAAAAACTATTATCGAAGTTAAAAACTGAAACATTTTTACATTTTTTTTTTTTTTTTTGCTTCAAAAGTTGATGACAGACAAACAATCAAATCATTCAACATTAATAATGAAAAAAAACATATCGTTGCAAACTACATATTTGCTCTTCTCAGTTCTCAGAATCTTAAGTTATAGAATAATGTTTTATATACCTAGACTAGATATAACAATAAAATTTAAATTACTTTTAATAGATAGATACTTCTTAAAATTATAATTAATAATACCTGCATAATTAGTTATACATAAAATATTCAATGATAAAATAGTTTTTGTTTTATGGTGAAATGTATTCAAATTTCGTATCTCAAAAAATACCGGCCAATTTCAAAAGTTTCAAAAGTAGGATTTTAAAAATTAGACGGGACAAGTACCTACACCAATTATTGCAACCCTCCCCAGTTCCCTCCAAGATCCAAGTAACACCAACGATAGCTATTAGCATTATATTATATTAATTTTTATTTTTACTAAATAATTACTTTTACTTCATGGAACAAAAATTTTCAATGTTATTAAGCTACATGTTATCGTTTCGTTATCACTAAAAAATCCTTGTCAGTTGTTAAAAATGACTAACTGGAATCAGGAAATACAGGATAAAATAATATAGATTTAATTATTTATTTTTGTCTTCTTAGTTTTTAGTGTTTTACTCTTTATACTTATCTTATATTGAGTATTAACTTAATAATTATTTCAATATTCTATCTTGTGTCTGGATTCGCTTAATCATTCTGAATATTTGTCGTCAATTTATTTTTTTATTTATCTAGTTATCATAAGAATATCTCATAACGTGTTAACGAGTTATTATTCTATTACATAATATTACTAGTCTGCTAATTTCACGAGCCACTTTAAATTTGTTTAAGCATTTCAGAATTAAATTTGTTTTTTTACACAAATAGCAATGTGTGTTGGTGAGTTTAATTGAATAGTTTATACTAAAATCATATCCGCATTTGCTTAGAACTGTTCATATTGAAAATCTTGAGCTAGTAAAAGGGTGTTTCCAAGGTCACTAACCAACATATATTTTCTAATACAAAATGAATTTTCCAATATCAAATTGTTTTAATCTTAGAATCACTAATACACGAATAAATTGAATTTGATTTATAGAAATTGATGAATATATATGATATTATGTTTTATTTTACTAGGTTGCTTATCTCGTATGCGCCCTCGCTATAAACGTCTTGTTGATAACATCTTCCCATCAGTTCCTCAGGTAACTTACTTTATATTTATTTAAGATATCTTTATACAAGATGGCAATTTAATTAATTATGTTGTAATCTAGGATGGTTTGGTGAAAAATAATATGGAAAAGTTAACATTCTATGCTTTATCATCACCAGAAAAATTAGATCGTATTGGCGAATATCTATTTCAGAAAGCTAGTAGAGACATCTCTCGCAAGAGAAATGAGTAAGATTTATCAAAAATAAAAAAAATCAAGCCAATTCTTAAATATTTTCTATTTTAGGTTTGTAATGATTGCTATGGAAGCTATGGACCAGCTTCTTGTAGCATGTCATGCTCAAACTTTAAATTTATTTGTTGAAAGCTACTTACGCATTGTGCAAAAGCTACTTGAATCATCAGAACCCAGTTTACAAATACTAGCCACACAATCGGTACCAAAATATATTCAAGTTTTTAGTTAAATAAAATGAATACTAATTAACAGCAGTTATTTTGTTTATAGTTTGTACGGTTTTCTAATATTGAAGAAGATACACCATCATATCATAGGAGATATGATTTTTTTGTTTCCAAATTTTCTTCCATGTGTCATAACAACAATCCAAATTTAGTCACTATGGAAATGATTCGAATGGCAGGCATAAAAGGCATTCAAGTAAAATTTAAATTAAATATTTTCTATTATATCTTTAATTTAAATAAAATATACATTATTTTTCTTATTAAGGGAGTTATTAGAAAAACTGTTTCTGATGATTTGGTTGAAAATATCTGGGAACCTGTTCACATGGACAAAATTGTTCCATCTTTATTATTTAATATGCATACAATGAAGTAAGTGTTATATTATTATTTAAGTCACTTAATAGTAATTATGTTGATTATTATCTATCTTGTTGTATATTGTGCTTTATAAACTATGTTGTGTTTTTGTATATTTTTCCAACCTTTATGATAAATTATAGATGATAATGATTACAAAATCAGAGTCATCAGTTTTGAGTGTGTATGCAGCTAACAAAAGTATACCCACTCACCTTAAAAAAATATTCATGTTCTATTCAATAAATATACTTATAAAATATGTATAAAAATATTTAAAAAATTTAGTAATTGTTATATTCCACAGAACCTAATTATTATTGTTTATACATATGCTTCCCCAGTAATTTATACCTACCCCCTTCGAGGGCACATGCAGTTATTAATATATGATACTTGGTAATCTATCTGAGTGCCTCTGTTTAAGAATTAATTTTATTAATTAGTTTAATTAAATTGTGTTTGTATTGTAAACTTACTTTATTAATAATACTTAACATAAAATTTTAGATCAAAAACTGAATTAATGGTTGAAAGTGGAATTTCAGAAGAGGTCAATGATAAAACTGATTCATTTTCTTTAGCAGAATCTTGTTTAAGAGAGTTAATTGGACGTGCATCGTTTGGTCATGTTAAAAGTGTCATTCGTCCTGTCCTAAAGTAATAAACAAACTTTTAATTTAAGAAATTGTTATAATATATTTTTTTTATTTTTTAGACATTTAGACGCTCATCATATGTGGGTGCCAAATGTATTTGCTACTCAGTGTTTCCGTATCTTAATGTTTTCTATTCAATCTCAATATTCATATGCTGTAGTGGAAACACTGATGACTCATTTAGACGAAAACAGCAACGCATCTCCAAAAATCCGAACTAGTATTGCAGACGTGCTATCAAAAATTATTGCTATTGCAGCTAATGAAAGTGTTGGACCAACAGTATTAGAAATAATAAATTCTCTGCTAACAAATCTCCGTACATCAGTTACTAGACGTCCACCATCTAATACTGGTCTATCTGAATCTGATGGTGAAAATGAATATAGAGAAGCACTTATACACGCACTTGGAGAATTTGCTGCACATTTGCCTGATTATCAGAAAATTGAAATTATGATGTTCATTATGTCCAAAGTACCACAGTTTAAATCTTCAAATAATCCTAATGATCTCCATGTACAAAGAATGTGTTTAAAATCTCTTTTGATGGTATTTATTCATTTTATATTTTGTTTATTCTATTTATTATAATTTAAATTCAATGTTATTAAAAGAATTGTATTATTATGTAGGTAAGCACCAAGTATAGTTCAGTACAAATGAATGCTACTTTTCCTCAGTCATTTTTGGATTTATTGCTAAAAACATTAACTGCTTCTGAGGATGAAATTCGCTTCATTGTTCTACGTATATTACACACACTTTTAGACAGGCACAATAATGCACCTAAGCTATCTAAAGCTACGTAAGTTTTTAATCGAAAATATTTTAACTTATTTACTATAAATTATAATAAAAATATTTTTTACAGGGTAAATATCTCCAAATCTGACATAAATCTAGAGAAATGTTCTCGTAGTGATACAATATTTATACGAAAACATGCTCAAGATATTTATGTATCTATATATGAAAGCTTAGAAATGACTAACAATACTGTTGATAATGTTGAGGCTGTATATACGACTTTGGCCTTAATATGTATTGAACTATTGTCTGAGGAAACGGTTTTGGATTTTATCAGACTGATTTTAAGTATACAGGAGTTAGCCATTACTAACGCTGTACTTTCAACTCAGCAGAAATTCCATTTACATGCATTGGTTATTAGTATTATGCTTTTAGTAGCTGTTGTGACTGATTTACATCCACTCAAAGACTATGTGGAAAAAGTAATAAATATAAAAATAAATAACAAGACAATAGTGTAATATGTATAACATCAACAAAATTTATTTTTCAGATAATTGAACAAAGAAAATTGTTAAATGCTACTCATTTGTTACCAGAAATAAGTATTCATAACGAAGTTAAATCTGCCAGTCTTTTGCCAGCTGGAGTTTTAATTGAAGAGCCAGAATTAACTGAAGCTTTAAAAGCGTCGGGCATTGAAATTACAAGTTTGTTTTCATGTAATATACACTTAACTAAAATTGTGAAGTTATTACTTATTACTGAATGTGTTTTTGAAATTTACTTTTCAAATCAGTTTTTTGGAAATGTGAAATATTTTTAATACATTTATAAATTTGTATTTTAAAAACAGTATCTAACATTCAAAAATTAAATTATCCTAGTTAATTTTAAGTTTTTTAAAAAAAAGTTTTTATATTTTTATTTTTCAAAAACACTTGATTATTTTTTATTTATGGTGTTTTATTTATTGAATATTTTATTAAAAATGTAAAATATTTTTTGTTGAATAAGAAATAAGATAAAAAGTGATAATACATATTTAAGTATATATTTATTTAGTATATAATACATTTAAATAAAACATTTTTTTTCTTTTGAAAGCTCAAATATTAATGACTTATATCCAATAAACACTATTCCATTTACTTTGTAAAATATTTTTGGTCTTTATTATTTTAACAATCATCTTTTACTATATTTATAGGTGAAACTGGTCCAGTACTAACACATAGACGTAGCTGGGTTGAAAACACTAATATATCAACGAAAGGAAGCTTTACTGATTTGAGTAATTTAGATTTAGATAGTGTCAATTCCACTCCAGCAATGCAAAGAGTCAGTATTAATTTTAAATTGTGATGTATAATTAAAACATATTTTTTTTTATTTATAATGTACATATATTGAGATTGAATTATATTTTCTTTAGCGTTTTTCTCCAAATGAAGACCTGTCATTTGAAGCCATGAAACGTTCACTGTTGGACAACCCTGCGATCAAGGTAGAACAGAACACCAGACAAACTCAACTGTGTGATATGTTCAGAAATACATCCTTCCAAGATTTAGTAGCAATTTCTACTGCATCAAAAGTAATTCAGCTTATTATCATGCAAACCATGTTTATAAACTCATACATCAAATTTTTGTATTCAGGATGAAGAAACATTGCATACGAAAATAACTGATGTGTTCAATAAAGTCGATATATCGAACAAACTATCAACTGTGGAAACTCCTAACCAGCCCAAACCCATTTATGAGACACTATTCCCAGAATTATTTGCATTTTAAAAAAATTTTAAAATTATATTTTATTGACATATTTATAGGAATGTTTTAAGGTTGAGTATTCTTAAATTAAAGTGGATTACATTTTATTGTTGTTATATTATAATACATATTAGACCAAACTGTTAGTATGTATTCATTTTTAATTATAAGTCATTGGTATTGTTACCAACGTGATGTTTCATTTAAAAATATATTTTTATTTATTTTGGTGTTTTTAATTTTGTGTAAATTTTTTCAATGTGTGAACAAAATGATAAACTCTGCCATTAAAATATATAATTTTAATAAAACAATTCTTAAGAAGGCCTAATCTAAAAAGAATATTTGTGATCTTTCATGAATTTTGAAAATTTAGTATTTGCAAAATATTTACAGACATCCCACCCCTCTCTCTTATTTTTTATAAACAGTAAAGTAGTACTTGATAATTTTATTGTTAGTAGATACCTTATAATATAATTTTATCTTTTGGTGATTTTTCTCTACTTTTCTTTTCTATTCAAACATATTAATATTTTTTTTTTTTAAATCATATAAAATCTTCAAGTTCTGGTGTTAATAATCTAGTCTTGTGTGTTTGTTTTGAGTCCGATAAATTGGTCAAGACAATCAAGTCATTGTTGTAGATTGGAGATTAAATGGAAAAATTAAAATTCTATTAACACTTGAAACCTAACTCGAACGGTCTGTACAGTGAGTCGTTTACTTAATAATAGGCAAAAATGCAGGCACTTTCTGGTTACATTTTGCAATAAACCATACGAATGAATAAATATTGTAACTACCTATTTCAATGATGAAAAATTACTCTATTGGACAAGACTGAGTGCTTTGTAAAATTGCTGGATTTTAATCATTTTTTTTTTTTTTTTAAGAAGATTTATTTAGGTTGTATTTAACCCTGATTTTATAATTTATTTTAAATAACACCAAAAATATTTTTGTAACTAAGAATGTGTCTGCTTTATTTATTTAAAATTTTGATTTATCACAAGTGTAGTTGGAATACTACTGAAAGGTGGCTTATTTAACTTCATTTTTATTTTTACTACAAGTTCTTCTAGAAACTCCTCAGCACTATTTTTTCTCTTATTTTTCCCCGATTCTCACATTACACCAGTCATTGCTATTTTCATCTCCTATCAATATTTAACATATCCTCTATTATAAATCCCATATAATTGGGTCAATAGAATGGGTGTTGGTTTTGATTTTCCATTTTGGAATTTTTATTTGATACTATTCTGTTATATTTTTATTGCTAATGGATTTTCTACATTCTCGTTATTGTTCATGTGGCAAATGTGTAAGTTAATTAAGTCTTGTACTTTTAATTTAATATTTGTTCTTTTGTTTTTCTTAACAAGTTTGATTTAAATGGGTTTAATAGACAAGTTTATTGATCATTTTAATACATAATGACATTTTATCTTCTTTTTGTTTTTTATTACCAGATGACAATAATTTATATAGGCTAGTAAAATGTCTTTTTTGATGTGACAATAATTCATTTCTGATTAAATTTTTTTCAATAGAAAAATAATTTAATATTTTTACGATTAATTATATTTAATGAAATTATTGCATTATTTAGTTAGAATTAAAATACATTAATGCTCTACAAAGTGCAAAGTCGTTTTTAATTATTTAATTTTGTTCATATGTAAAAAAGAAAACTGATACATGATTTACTTTGTGAAATTGAGTTTTATTGTTGATATTTATACTCAAATCCATGAGAAAATAATACTATTTTGCACATATAGACTAACGGCAATGACCGCTATAACCAATGTCAACGTTATAGACATGTGAAAATGGTGAAGTAATGCTAATTTGGAAGCGTTTGGTTACCCAGGTATGTTCTTTTAAGGGCCAAAATATATTTGACTTTCTTAATCGAGCTGAACTTCAACTCTACTGATCAGAAAAAACCAACAGATTTAGGTTTTTGAGTCATAATTAATTATTAATAGAAATTATATTTTTAAACTTTTAAAGACTGAATTTAAATTTTTTTATTTTTATATCATACTTGATTTCATATAATTTTAGGTTAAACCTATAAAACATAATATTTAGATAATTGAGAAATATATAACTTAGAATCAAATATTTATGCTCCAAATTACTTTGTCGTTGAAATAATAACAATGTAACAATACCACAGATATTATTTATTTGTGATTTAATAAATAAACTACACAAATTGTTTTACATTTACATAGTCTGTTTATTTTAATCATTACAGCTGACTATTTTGAATTTATATTACCTATATATTAAAAAAAAAAAAAAAAACATATATAATACAAAAAGTTTGAAGAATTAACTTTTCCATGTGTTCTTTTCGTAATCCCAATTTGAGGACAAACCATCAACTGGGTCAACTCGTAAATCAATCATACGTTTCAATTGGGCTTGACGGTGCTCAAGAGACAATGATGGATCATCAGCAGTGTTAGTCACTAGAAATAATTATCAATATAAATGTTATAATAATATTAAACATCAGTGATTTTAATTATAAAAATAATAAGAATGAAAATACTTACAGTATTTACGGACACCGACAAAAGAAAAAACGGCAATAGCTACCCACACCATGACCCATCCAAATATAGCTTTCCATTCACCAGTTGGTGCATCTACCTCAACTAATGTCTGGCAAAAACTTGCTCTATACAATTTTTTCTTTTCTTCTAGAGTTAATTTTTTCCAGTCTCCCTTTTCTTTTTCCCGCAGAGCCTAGTAATAAAAAGAAAAAAAATACATATACCCATTGTTTACTCATTGTTTGATAATCATTTCTATCAGATATTATTAGGCATTGGTAAAATATATGACCTACTGATGCCCTTAATATATTATATTATCAGTAATTTACAGACACAAAAATTTAATAAATTTAATTATGTTTTGTCATTCTTAACATTTTATTCATTATAGATAATTAATATTGGTAACAAGCAAATATTATGAATAATGCTATTAAAATCGATAAAAATTATTATTGTGCAAAAATAACGAACACAGCACATTGGCCAATCTGTTTGGATGACAACATTTTCCTTCTATTCGAATAGATCTAAGATTATTAAAATTAAAATACCTACTTTAAAAAAAGTTTATTTGATTTTCTATACTTAAGGTTGTTGACAAAATACTTTCCAATATTATACATTTTAAACATGTTATTAAATGAAATTAAAATAACTAAAATTATCTAAGAAAAACATAGTATCTTTAGCTAATATGACAACCACAATTAAATATTATTGTACAGCAGATGTAGCTGAGTTAACTTATTAACTATATGAAAACACAAAACAATAATCTTTATTTGATTGTTAGCATAATTTTAACATACTCTCCCAAACAGTCAATTGTATTCGCTCAAATGGTACCTATATAATGAAACTCGGTTGAACGGTTTAACTATTAAAAATTTAAAAAAAAAAATTTGAAGCAACCAATGCTCAACATAGAGCACTAGGATAATAGTAAGTAAAATTCAGCAGAAATGAACACAATTTTATTAAATGTTCAATATTTGTGGAATACACAAATGTTATAACCTAAGAATATGTGATGTAATAGTAAATCAAATGTAAGTGAACCTCATTAATATTGCACAACGGAGGAAACCTATAATAAGAACAAATTATGTACATGGATATCATACCAATATTTCGGGTGTGTTCTTCATAAATCTAACACTGGGGAAAGGGAAGGTGATGGTGTCGAAGTATTGTGGTTCGCCATTCAGACCATAACCGACAATGTCGCGACCGACGGTCTTGTCTTCGCGCACTTGCATCACACCCTGTACAGGGGGCTTCGGCTCGGCTTGGAATACGGCCGCCGTCGAGCTGTTGGCCGCCAGTTTGTTGTACGCGGGCGAGCGCGCTAAGAACGAACGGACTATCGCACGAGAATACATCTGAAACAACAACATGACATACAATATTAATGTAGGACAATTTATGTAGCATTTCGAATCTGTTTCAGGAATCATTAGTTCTACTCACTTTTGTTGTTTGTAGTTACGATCGATCAACTAACAGCTAAGGCACTGTATTGGCGAAATTGTCCAAGAGGTTAAAAGGTAAAAAAACGAACTCGGAAAATTATTACTGCGATATTATAATCGTCAAGGTCTTGAAAATCAAATATCACATGTTAATTGTTATGATAACTCACGCAGTGTTGTAAGCGCTATAAGAAAATCAATAACTCCATTGGCCATACTGTATCCGTCGTTTCCCGGGTCATTCCGTTTTTAAAACTATAGGCGAGTGGATGCCGCTCTCTATGTCAAACGGGTCACTGTAATGGATATTGTTAAATTTGAATTCAATGATATATCATTGTTCACAAAAAATGATTTGAAGTAGACTGTCAGTCAGCCTACAACAGTTTAAAGTAAAAGTACATATTATATTTCATGTTAAAAGATTATTGATATCACTATTAAAATAATTTATTATACTATTGGTATTACAGTAAGTTGATTTGTTTTTTTTTTTTTTTTGAAAACATTGCATTTATTATATTATTTGTATTTAATTATTAAAATAACGTATTATGTTTATAGTGTTTAAATCATATTATATTATTGTCGTTAACTTTTGAAATAATACTTTCTTATCATAAAACAGTGTGAATACGTTTATATGATATAATGGTATGTATAATATATTTAAATGAGTCTACATATTTTGAAAATGTCATTGCACATAATGAAATTCATAATAATGTATGTAGAAGTTTTGAGCTTCAACGTATAATGTTTTTGATTTAAAAAAAAATAATTAATATCGCAATATTCATAGTTTAAATACCTATATAGGTATGCGATTCCGTCCAAATTTAAACTTAAAATGTTTATAAAAAAAAAAATGTGCTTATATGTATATATATATTTTTTTAATTTTTGATTTCTGTATTAATTGTTTAGTAAGAAACTTTATACTAAATTTTCAAGTTTAAGCTATAAAAATTGCACATTTTATATGTTTTAACTGTATGTATCTAGTAGATTATAATTATAAATTATAGGTACTGGCTGCTATAGATTATATATTTTTTTTAAATTATTATTATTATAGTATTTACTATTTTATTTACATATCTACCTGTCACTTTAGAAATATTCAGATATTTCATCAGACTTGTAGTGAAGTACCTTTGTTTGATTGTTTGATAGTAATAATTTTAATAGATTCTTGTAAACAGTATTTTTGTCAAATAATGAATTCATTAGCGGTGAGTGTGCACGCAACGAGTTACATTTTGATTTTCCTGATATTTGTATACTTTGTGTTATAAACTTATACATAAATGTTTATAATTTTAGATAAGCGAACAAGATAAAGAAGAATTTGAGACTTATTTGGACCAAAATGGTATTTTGGATAAACTAACCGATATACTAATCATGTTGCATAGCGAACAAGAAGTACCTTTAGATCCCATCGAGTAAGAATAAAATTTACTTTTTTATTAGAAAGAAATTAAAATGGCTATAAAAGAAAAAATAAATTTCTCTAAAAGCTAAGTTTTTGTTGAACGGATTATATTAAATGCGTTATTCATATGTGATATAATGAGACTTTTTATAGTAATTTTAGTAGGTACGTGTTTTCAAGTACACGTAACTACAGTTTTTGCTCTGTAATTCTGCAAAGTATATAAATTCAAATTATTGTACCCACAATTAATTGTAAGCACCTATTATACAAACTTTCAACTGTAAAAGTGCACTTAAGATTTTTTAATTGGTAAATGTTCTATATATTATATTATATTATTCAATTTTTTATTTCATACTTTCTTTGTTGATTTTATTTTAATGGTTTTCGTTAATATTTCATACTTAAAATTGGAGATTTTAACATTATTTTGTATTTTTACCATTTTACTCGTATATACTGAAATTTAACGCTAATATATATGTAAATATGAAATAATAATAATAATAATATAATATTTTTATTACGTATAATGTACTTATTGTAAATTTATAATGTACTGTATTATAACTAATAAATCTGAATTCTTGGTTAAAACGAGAAAAGATAAAAATGTGTAAACTTTAAAACTGCTTCTAGTATTATAATAATTAATTATCTATTATAATATATATTGTGTACGTACAAGTATTATGCAAGTAAATTTTCGATGCAATATTTGTTTTTGGGTATCAATAATTAATATGAGTCTAAATATTTTTACTTTGTCATTATTGTATATATTTATAAAAATATAAGATAATTATTTAAACAGGTAATCGGATATTTCAAACTTCTTTCTTTTGTCGAAAACTGTAGGTTTTTTTGCGTACAAATGTCATGGTTTTCCTAATTTTTTCTTAATTATTTTGAAAATTACTTACAGTAATGTTCTTACATTTAAAGTTTTAACCAACAAAAATTGAATTCATTAATTGTTACTAGAAAATTGACAAAATTGAAGAATATTTCTTCTACAATAAAAAATATTTTCACAATATTAAACATAACATTGTAAAATCAATATTTATACATTCATCACTTTAATCAGAATCTATAATAGATTAAAAATACATTTAAACAATTTTACGAATTAAGTGTCAAAAATATTTAAGAATCTGAAATCCCTCTGCATAGTAAAAATTTTCTCGCCACCCATATACACAAAAAATTATTATTTACAAAAAGTTTAAATGCCATTATTTAGTATTTAATTTGTACAAATTTGTAATATATAATTATACATTTGTATGTATATATATCATGTATAATATACACATAACACACCTCGATTGTTCGGGTATTTACATATTCAAGATAAATATACACATATAGGTACACATAAAATATGGACCTCGTTTATTGAGTTGAATAAAGCAAATAGAATATTTATTTTATTTTTTCTTTATTTTATATTTGTTAAATTATATCTTTTACATTATGATTTTTACAACCCCTGTAAATAATACGTTTAAATTCTCCAAAGAATATACAACTTCGACCATAAGTTAGACTAACGTTGTAAAAAAGTGTATATTACCTACAATTTTTGTTATAAATGTCAGAGATGTATTTATGATGATCGCTAAGGGGACTACATTTCTCTCCTATAAATGACTGGGAACTTAATATATTTTTTTTATGCATTGGTATTGCAATATTTTCATTTTTACCAAGTATTTAAAATTCGTATTCCTTACTATTTTATTGTTAGAAAAAATGAACCAAAAGTTTTCACCATAAATATTAATAGCCTATAATGTATAATATATACCTAGTATATATTATACCTAATATTCCTACATCTTATTTGGTAACAAACTAATAAAGTAATTAATATCAAATTTTATATCAATGCATACATTGGCTTAATAGACATACCATGATTATATTTTTAACTTATTGGTAACTTGACGTAATAAATAATTTTTAAATTAAAAAATGTGACTACTTGCCTCCTTTCCCGTATTACTGAAATAAAGTTGAATAGTGGATATTCTCCCCTTTTGTATGTAGTGTATAAATGTAAATAAATAATTTTAACCTATGCGTTTTTTTCTATTTTTTGAATGAATTTATAGATACGTGAGGAAGAAAATATATGTAGACAACCCAGACGTTGAGGAAATTAAGGAATTGAAGACCCAGATCCAAAACGCCGCTATTGAATTAGCCGAGCTTCAGAGGACCAGGGATGAACTCAAAATTCGCCTGGAACAATTTCAAAGTGAATCGCAACTGGAGGTCGAGAATTATGAGGATGAAGCGATCAAAGTAGTAGACAACGATGAATATGTTGATTGAAAATTCGAAAATCAGGTCATCAGTTTCCTGTTGAATTTTATTAAATAAATAATAACTAAATAATTAATAATGAATTCATTACAACTGCGAGAAACCTAAAATCGTCTGTTTAATTATCTACATTTATAACAAATTATTCACTATAATATAACTAAAATCCTAATCATTTTTACCGTAATTTATTTTTAGTTTTTCCCGATTACTAAGAAAGTTATGAAAAGTTTTTAATTTATAATATAGTGAAACCCTAATAATATATCTACCATAATAAGTTACATTCACACATCATTGTATAATATCAATATTTTTTTTAGCTCAGTTTATAGTTGTACAGATTAAAATCTAAAATTGTCATGAAAATAAATATTTATGATATATCACACTGCAGAGGTAAATTCAAATTGAGCTCGTACATATTATATTAAGCTTTCAGTTCACAATGGCAGTATTGATCGAGAAATACTTAAATCATTTAAAAACTATATTGTGGAGGTATACATTTTAAATGAGAACTTCCCTCCTTTTTTACTATAAAATTTTTAGTAGATAATTTTAAAAAAAATTCCATGTTGGTACCTAATTCTAAATTTTAACGAAACATTTTACAATTGTTAAAATACTTATATTAAGAAAAATAATCCTTAAAATGGTTTTAAAAATTATAAAATAGACACAATATCATATCTTGTATTAATTCTACTTGGAACATTTAAATAAATTATAAATATTGATTGATTAATACTACAAGTAAGTACTTACTAAGATTTTCAAATCACTATAGCCTTCATGGCCTATATACTTCAAACTTATTATCATCATAGGTATCTATAGTTCTTTTGAACATAAACTTAAATGATTCAAAAACTACTCGTTCAAGCTTTAATTTTAATACATTGACATTTTCAGAAAAATTATCTGCTAAATAATTTACAGTAAAAGAGAGATATTATTTGAAAACAGAAGTTAGTATATCCACAAAACACTTTTTAAGTAGATCAGAGAAAATACTAGTTCGTTCATTTTTAGGACAGATACTTATGCGGATAATATTTAAAATTACTCCTACACAACAAGTATTTATTTTACTTAAAACTTTTAATGCATTTTCTTAACTAATTTAGAGCGTAGGTACTTATAGTAGTTTGTAAAGTAACAATTCACAATTAATTATTTGTGTACCATCATCATTTTCAAGAAAATAAGCACTACTAGAATCCATAAAATAAAATAAATATTTAAGTAGATAATTATCAGCACAAAAAAAAAAAAAAAATACAAAGTTGATATTTTGTGCTATAGAATTTTTAATTGTCATAAAAACTGTTTTCATAAAAATAAAAATAAAATTTTTTTGTTATAGACGTATTCAGTTTTATCCATACGCAATCGTTAAAAAAAACACACATCGTACAACGGTATATTATTATTATTTAAAATATACCGTGTCTGATACTTACGCAAACAACAGCAGCGTTTATAATATAATATGTGTATTATGCATAATACTATACAATAAGTATATTATATAGGTAGGTGTATCATCATCTTGAAATTAATTAGGTACGGAATCGTCCATGTATGGCGTGCATAACTATATATCATTTTTCAAATAGGTTATTAATTATTATGCATGTCGGTACAGCCTGTATTACAAACATAAGTTGTAGATAATATAATATTATAAGTACTTTAATAGACACGCGTTTATATTATAATACAAACAACATTATATAGTATATGTATAATGTATATTGTATTATACAACGAAATGCACTAATATATTTAAAAAAATAAAATAATACGCAATTCAATTGATACTTATTATACAAACTATGATATTACAATATGTTGTATAATATTATGATGTTTGTATAAGTTTTTCTAACGAAATAGGTACACGTAGAAATAATATACATGTATAATGTATATTATTATAACTATGTTATTATTCAAAAATACATTCATCATTTGACTCGGAAAACCGCATCACCGCAATCCTACTCGGACATAAAACAAATGCATTAAAATGTATCATTACACAAGTACCTACGTGTCGTACGTAAATATTGAAATGCAAACCATACGAATAAAGTATTTTTTTAAACGACACAAAATACATACCTATATATTATGTCGTATTACAATAACAACAATATCCAGTTAATTGCTTATACGACTTGCGTCAAACTATAGGCTACGTCGTTTCGATGATTAAGTAATATATTATTATTATACTCACTTGCACGAGTACAAAACAATGAAATTGTCAACCGCGCCATCCGTAGTTAACGACAACATCTCTCGTGGATCCATTCGAGACATTTTTTTCATTAATCACACGGGCACTGCAGGGTTTTCAGTTTTCAAAATTATTTCCTAACAAACATTTTTCGTCTGTACACAAAATGCATAAAATATAATACAGTCTTAATGAGAGCACTATAAAATTTTCTGGTTGAATATAACAAATCACGCTAATTGATGGCAGCGTAGGTAATCGTACGGTACAGTAATGTATTACCTACTCTGCTGGCAGCTACCCAGACACCTATCAACCGATGACAGTTATTATTTTGCATATTAAAGTAGGTAATTAATACGTAACATAATTATAATTATCTTTGAAGTCGCATCGTTATAATTTTATAATTATAAAAACGAATTTATGACGTTCTGCATATTTATTAAAAACTCGTTATTCCGTTTATAATATAGCAATTAATATGGACGGTATTTAAATCGATTTTCACTAAAAGGAATTCACGAGCCATACTTGAACGTCGACAGCGGCATACGTTTTCTCATTGTTCTGTAATGAGAATTTTTGCTTCTCCGTTAGTTTGATTGTTTTTTTTTTTAATTATTCCTACCTAGTGTATTCAAGACATGACGTGTACTTCCACAATGAGTTATATATGTGGTTTATATTATATAAAATATATAACATTATTACCTAATAATTAACAAATAAAAATATTTTGTTATAGTATCGATGAAACATTTTGATCGAATTGGTAGTGCTAACATAGGATGATATCATATAAGTAAGTCATTTAATTTTAGTAGTTTATGAAATAGTCTTAATTGCTTATGAAATATGTATCGCACAAAAAATAAGTCAGTCTACACCCACAGACAAAAGTTGACAAACTGTAAATTTGTATACGAAACAGATACAGATAACAATATTTCTGTGTTGTAGCATTTTTATTTTGTTTTAAACCATTATAGTCTTAAAATATAAATATAACGGGTTTTAAAACAATAATAACTTTTTTGTATGAACACTAGTAATGGTACCAAAACAATAACGACACACGAACACTTTGTCACATAACTAATAATGTCTTTCTATTATCGCGTTTAAATTTCATTTTTTTTTTTTTATCTTCATTACTGTAAATTAAGTGGTTCACTTTCATGCAAAACTGTTTTTCTATATTTTTTTATTACGGAACAAACATGATGATACCGACTTGGGAGAATTACAGTTGTTAAAATACTCCGAGCTAGTATTTAAATATATTTAAAAACTAATTAAAAGTATTTTAAAAGTGATCCGATGTCACTACCAACAAAGGTTGTTGAGTGATAACGAGATCGTATAAAAAAATGATATACCATGCGGGACAAAGTTATATAAATAGGTACTATATTTACCAAACTTTTATTCTACATGAAGACAATTTTATCTGTGTACTAATGCTTTCAAACAAATGGAAGAGGAAAAAATGAATCTTTACGAATGAGTGATTCGGATTGCTATTAAGTTATCGAAAAAAAACGTTACAATATAAAAGTTCTTCTCTATATATTGTGAGTATTTTGTAAAACTACTGTGAGTATTGTCTCCGTAAGTTTGTCCCATGTAATAAATTACACAATGTGAACTTGAGCGTTTAATAAATCAAACGTGAAACCAGTATCTTCTTCACACTCCATACAACCACAGCCCAGAACAAAGTCCAAAATACGACTTAGGAGTTATACATGGCAAATTAGATTGAGGAATTAATTTATTCGCATGCGTAAGGTTTAATCGACGGAAAACTAAAGTAAAAGATAAACAAAGAACATCCAACGTAGGTAATCGGCTGCTATCGTACATAATATATTATACAGAATAATAAGTATACATGAATACATTTTTAACAAGAATAAAATATAGTTTACACGAAGGGAAAACACACAACGCAAATTGTAGGTTTTATCATTTTTTTTATAACGTTAAAGTCGTACATTGATTTTATAATATTATGCAGTGCTTGAACTGGAGAGGGACCTTTATTTTTTTATACTTTTGCATGTCCCGCCTAATTTCATTTCCAATTCGAGCACTGATAATATTTCATCTCGTGTATTATGTACTTATCTAAAACAGTATATTTTGTGTACAACAATAAAATAATAAAAATAATTTAAAAATAATTAAAATACACATTAATATTCAATGCACTCAATTATAACATGATAACATAGTAAAATTCAACTTTTGAGACTAGAATATTTTGGTTCTAATTCTAAATAGTAAATACATTTATATAATATTAGGCCGTACAATCGTATACAAATGAATTTCTACAGACATTATGTATATTTATATCGAATATCGATGACGGCCTATAACTAAGCAATAATACTAATAACAGTAATAATTAAAACCTAAATAATAATATAATATTTTATATAAATATGTTTTGAAAATATTATTTAAATTCGAAATATCTAAAATAAATTAATAAAATATATAATATTTAATTCAAAATGTATTTGTATTATTTAATAATTTAATATAATATAATATAATAATAATATATTGTCAATAAGTTATGAGACGGAAGTACTCGGTTAATCCGTAAGAGTAATTTTTTTTCTAATATCACGTAATATTATTGTAAAATTTAAATTAGGTACATACATATATAAATAGTATTATGGAATATAATATAATAATATTATATGAAAACCGCGTTTTACTATGTCGATCTGTAAATATAAGTAGAGTTTATTGGTGGTTAAATATAAGTAGTAAATTACGTCAGAATCGAAACCATAAGCCGATCACTGGGAGGATACGGCGAAAGTGCAACGGGGAGGGAGCTTGGGTTTTTGCGTTCATATTTTAAGCTGCATAAACAGAGTGCTAAGTCGAGGAAGGTGTCGATGGCAATAACGTCTGTTGCAAGTTCGCTTTCCGGCAGTTCCACAACCATTTTATAATCCTGGCGTTTCGCTCGACGATAGACGGCAGTTCTGATGAGGACGATCCGCCACCGGATTTCCCGGCATAACCACCAATCGGTCCGCCCGTTCCTGCCTCACAACCATCGGCGTCTCCTCGAACACCACCGCCTACCCAAAGTCCGTCAGTGTTTGCGTTGTTGTTGTTGCTGCCGCCGCTCACCGAGCCCACCGAGCTGTTAGAGTCGCCGAAACATACCTGTGAACCCGTCTCTGAATCGGTTTTTATGATCCACCTATGGAAAGAAAACATACACACGTTATTATAATATATTACAATATACAGCTATACAAATTAATTCATCAAGCATGCCACCCACATTGTTTTCGTTAATAATGATTGTTTTTTTTAATTCATCATCAGAATTTCAAAGATAATAATAATCTGATAAACAGTAAGAAATTCTGTATTCATACGGGATGTAGATGTTTGTAATTTGCATTGCCATAGGATACAACAATTGAATTAATTATATTAATAATATATATTTAGTTATTATGATAGTATATCTTTATATCATATAATATTGTTATTAAATTTTGATTTTTGAGTCAATTCTGATTTACTGTGTACTTATGTGAATTAAAAATACCTAGATTAAAATTAATCTTATATTTTGAAAATGTCATTATACAAATATAATTTAGTAATTAATACAAAAATTTAATATTTACTCCCAAATATACTAACTAGGTTCACTTTTTTTACTAGAATAGATAGTGAAGTTGAAAATTGAAACATTTTTTACTTAATAATTCGTGTATACATGCACAAAACAAAAAAAAATATAGGTACACCACAATAATCTGAATTTCCGCAGTTTTATATTTTAGAAACAGCAGGAACAAAATTTTGAATAAATTCATTATTAAAGAAAAATAGAAGTGAGTATGTTAAGTGAATCACTATATATAACTACCATGTATTATAGTTCGCAATATTATAATGGACTACTAAAAATGGTTTAACAATTAAAATGAAACGTTAATATGATAAAATGGACGAAATAAAACGAATAATAAAAAAATAAAAATAAATGCAAAGGAGACATCACAAAAAAATAACGAGTTTAGTGAAAAGTTTTGCGTACGTCAACCTTTTATTAAAAAAATCATTGAAAAACTATATATTAAGTATAAGAATGTTAGCTCATCATGTATATAGTATTATGTTACGCGCCATTCAGACTTTTTAAAAAAAGTCATAGTCTGTCAACAAGGGTATAATGGTACAGCGAATTCATCTTAATACAAAAATTAAATCAAAAGATTTCTCCAGAAATGAAAAAAAAACTTTTATTCTTGTTCACTCTAAAAAAAATAATTGAAAAAATGAAAAGTACACAAAATACTTGATCATGAGTTGAGAATCGATGTGTATGAGCACTTTGGTGCACATAATTATTACATTATACTGCGTACGTAGATATCATCATAGTGTAATAAATAATTTTAATAACAATTTGCATATAATTATATTATCCATATCAAAATATGAAAAAAATATTAGAACCTATATAGACAACTGTGCCAAGAGTATAATTCATTTCCGACTAACTTAATTTATTTCATGTATTTGAAATATTATACCTACAGAAAACACTATTTCACTACACCTAAATAGGTATCTACTATATTCGTCCGGTAAATATTTAAAAAGCTTACATAGAACGAATTATTTTAATATAAATGTTAATGTTGATTTAATGAAAAATTATGCAATTATTTGTCAATGTCAGAAATCTAATACAAGTATCGACTATAAACTTATGAATGTATCCTCATATTTAATTATTTAAATATGATCATTGAGTACATAACTCAGTAGTATGATATATATATATATATATATAATGATTGTATTCATTATTATATTTAGAGGCGATAACCGTTCAATCAGCAAACGACACAGCTCTCATAAATAGATGTATAGTTAACCGAATTTGTATTTTAATATAATGCATTTAATCTACTGACAAGAAGACACGCGTATGCTTTTGTCCAGTCGGGTCTGCTACAAATGTGTGTGGCATTATACTCAGCACTCACTAGACACAAAATCCTGTGTACGTCTATGCGCCCTCTTTCTTAGACGTACGTCAATAACAACAGATAAAGTGTGTTCAGACATAAATACCAAATTTAAATCAAGTAAAAACTAGATTTTTCGTTGAATAAACTATTAATACCTAGCATATTATTTGCCATTTTACGCATCAATAGAGCATCTTTATTTTTTATGAATGTGCCGATGGTGGTAGGTCGATCCGCCAACTAACCTAGTCTAGATATTATAATATAGTCAATAGCAATTAAATACCAAATCTTTCAGACTCGAATTTCATTCTTTTTTTTTCACTCAACGATAACTGAACCAACGGGCACGATTATGCGTGCAACGTGCGCCCGCGATTTGAATTCAATATTATAATATTTTAGGTACCACCAATTATTATTATTATTATTATTGCAGTAATTACGATGACGAACTAACGCTTTATTTTCGAATACAATAATATAATACATCACGGTCCATGGTACGTCGAAAGCGCATCAGCCATCAAAAATTCACGATCTACAGCAACAAAATCGTCTGTTTACGTAATAGTGTTCGTGACGCGAATAAATAATAATGAACATCGATCTACCTTCGTAGACCGTAAGACGTTTGAAAGCAAAGATAAAACGGGTAAACAACTTCCGAGTGAAACCGATTCACGTGGTATAGATATTTTAGACATTAACGCGTATACTTGCCTATGTAAATAATACGCAGAACGGAGTTTCTGATTTTAAAATAATATATAGCTGGGCGTGACTGCGCAATGAGTACTTATGATTAAATGTACGGGGCGCAAAAAAAATCATATATTTTCGTTACAGAGTTTGAAAGTTTGAGACGAAAAATCTTTGACTAGGTACGTGTATTATTAAGTTTAACGATTATAATACTTACGAAATTACAAAACGTATAAACAATATAAGCTGCCTAAATATAGTTAGATAAGTGCATATACCTACTATACTAAACCTGATTCATCCCGTGTTCAATAATTATAATCTATAAATACATTTTAAAAATGAATTAGAATAAATATTAAATATAACTAGTTTTAGTACAGATAGATAGATTATCTAAGTACTAATCTATTGATTTTATGAAAATAAAGTTGGTAATTAGATTATGCCTAATTACATGATATTATCTAGGATATATTGAAATAGTTTTTTAAACAACCGTTAACTCTCTATCGTTTCTATGATATTCATAGTATACGTTATAAATACGTGAAATTTAAAAATATCTAATTTGATATTTTTTATCAATTTTGTTAAGCCAGACTAGTTAAAATTGATTGTTATTGAATTATTTGTTTTATTAAGTAGGTACTTAAAGAATCAAATTAATTTAAACCATATTATTTGTTTACTTGCTATGCAGTTGTGTTGTATTGAAGATTTATATTTATTGAAAGTATTTCATTCGTTCTAAATTTAATCATAAAGAAGAATGAATTCCAAATAAATCAAATACAAAAATAAATAATAAATACATATTGTGTGTGTGAGTGTTTGATGAATTGTCCAAAGCACTCCATAACGTGGAGTAAGAAATAAATAAATATGAATATAATGGTATTATACAAAATAAGATTTCAATTCAGCTAAATAAAAATGAAATATTTTAACAAGAATTTATGAACTGTGCGCGATCGTGACAGAAAGAAGGATAATATAAAAATGCAATTTGTTATTATATTAATATTATTATACCAACATTAAATATGATAAAATATACATGATTAATAATTCTATAAAAACGTTAAAACAAAAATAATATGCTTTAATGCGTATGTATGATTTTGAAAGTAACTCAAAAAAATAATTTTAATTAATTTAAATTTAATTAAAATACAATTTTATTATTGAAAAAAAATTAGTTGAGGTACATTAATCATTGGGTAATTATTCAGTTTACTTGCATCATAAACAAATTTTATTCATTTCTATAGCATAGTATACAGCCTTGATGATACGAACTTTCTATAGCCCAAACTTCAATACCCGCCAACGATGTATTTGAAAGTTCTATTATCCGAATGTATTACCTTGTATACCGATTTTTTCATTTTTGTGACAGTTTATTATGAGTAATGAGTAATGACTAATGAATATATAACATACATATTGATATTATACATTTATACATTTATACATATAATAAGGTAGATTGATAAATTTTTCAAAAAAAAATATAATCATAGATGTAATAATATGTAACCTTTAATAGTTTTTTATTCATGTAATAACAATAAATATAATATAATACTTTAGTATTACATATTAGATATAAAATTGCATTTAAAATTTTAAAAAAATGACCAGCATCTGAACTTCTATTTATCCGAATTAAATATGATCTCAATTAATTCCGATAATCAAAGTTCTACTGTATTTTCAAATATCATGAATATGAAATCATCTATCTTATTAATGGTTCCTTTTTTTTGTCACTAACTAATTATATGACTACTTAACTAGCAATTTACCATCGTTTAGGTATCTTGCAAATAATTTTACTTAATTTTAATTATTTTTAATCAAACTGTTCAACATTATGTACATAAAGGTATATATTATTTAAATTGAACGCATGTAACTAACATTAATTAAATTTATACATCTACTTAATACATACGACCTACCCATTAACAAAGTTCAAAATATCTTTGAAAATTCATCAATAGTTTTAAAATAAACGTTAAGTTTAATAAGTATTCAGAATTATTTGAAAACTAATGATGCATATATTTAATTTGATCTATATAGTACTTTTTCTAAGTCTCAGGTTATAGAATATAAACTTTAATAATGATTTAAATAGAATATTTTCTTTCTTTTTTAACAAAATGAGTATTATGAGGGTTTCTTGTTACGTAACCGTGTTGTATTAAATGTATTTATAATATCACTGCGCAGTTGCATACACTTTATATATATATATACATAACATATTATACGGTTATTCGGCTACGTACATTTCTAACTGTTAAATATTTCTAGATTAATCATTATGTTTACATAGTCATACGTCAGTGCCTATTGATTTCTTGACTATTTCTCTAATAAATAATGATATGTAAGTATGCACCTTAAAGCTGACATCACAAGAAACGACAAAAGGGTCTGTTTACACAATCGATAAATTATATTATATTATTTATGCATATAATGTATATCGTACATACATGTTATAATATATTCGGATACGCAAGCGTTATAATATATTTACTAGTTATTAATATAGCTAGGTACGATAATAAAATAGTAGGTAATATACTAATATACTATATACTATCTACAATACCTTCTGAAACATCGTAGAAAAATTATCTATTATTATAGTTAATTTTTCTTATTACTATTTATAATTAAATTATCGGGTTTTTTAGACTTAGTAAAACTAGTAATTACTAATAAGTCTCTGTAAATATGATGGGGTGGCAATGAAATTAATTAGGAAAATAAAATTATTCAAAAATTAAATAATAATAGCGTTATGATTAAAGAAGAAATAAGAAGAGAGAAAATATGTTAAATACTGATCATTGAAGAGTTAAAAAGAGACAACAGGTATAGACAAGTTATGATAAAAATATTAGTAAGTTAAAGAGAAGATGAAATATCACTATTCGTGTGGATATGTTGAGAGTGCAGAAGGGAGGAGTCATCTAACAAGAGTTTAAAGAAATTAAAAGAAAGTTAGATGTAGCCAAAAGGGGATAGAAAAAGGGTATTATGTGTTTTTTTAAAGTATTTAATTATAACAGTTGTCATTATTGTTTGTATTAATATTTAATACTGTATTTTTTCTCATACTACGTGTCAAAATATTATAGAGTAGATATTGGCAATAATATATATATATAATATTATCATGCTCTAAAATAAAAAAATGTAATAAAAGTATTTTGAAATGAATAATAATTGTTTGAATAATACAAATATAAATAATAGAAAGGCACCACATTATAATGGATAATGAATTTTTCTCGAAATAATACTCAGCAACTAAAGCTATAGCTGCGGACAAGGCGATGAGGCATCGTCCCGTACCTAATCGAAACAAAAGGAGTTATATCATTATGACGGAATACTCTATTGTGGTTAAAAAAGACATTATCACTTTTATATTTATACATAGATATTCATTAAACACTATACAATATACGTATACTCGTGTTTTGCATATTTTATATATTTATATAATACGTTGAAAGAAAATTATAAAAGCATACGAATCGAGAGTGTACGTTTTCATAACATTAGCAAGCAGCGTGAACATATACTTACATTATAAGGTTTCGGATAAATTTTTGTTAACATTACAGTAAAAATTATAAAAGAAAAGAATAGCACCGCCGATAAATATTCAATAAGAATTTATATCAGCTTTCAAATCATGTTTGTCTAAGACACCTTTGATACGAGAAACATGTGAAAAACCTAATTTTATATTACGTTGACGGTTACGATAACTAAACTATATAGTCACACAGAATAACAGTTGAGTACTTGACACGGCGCATCGTTTCGTTTGCAATCGTAATATACTATTCTACATTATCTCTCAGTGAAGTTAACTATCTTACTTTTAAATATGTTTTAGATAATAGTAGACTTATGTATTAATGTATCGAAAAAAGTTAGAAAGAATCACAAATTTCATTGATATCAATTATCAACCAATTTTTGTAAGTTGTATTTTGTAGATGAGAAAATAATTTAAGAACGGTCGAATTGACAATATTGTCATATTAAAAATGACAGAAAGTTTTAATAGCAATGACAAGTATTAACCGATTCTCATACTAATAAAAAACCTTGGATTTGTATTTATTGACATTTTCACTACTCGTTATTGACAAATTAATTATTTTATAATTAAACCATCGATTTCGATTAAAGCGAGGAATAGTAATTGGTGTTGTGCAAGATACGGTAAAAGCGTATAAATCTGTACAGGTTTCTAAACGATGGAAAATAATTGAAAACCTTACACGTACGTTAAGTAAAATTAAAATGTTGTTCTAGTCATGAAAATATTTGTATAGTAATTAAACCTGTATTACGTCACAACAAGATTACTGAGTATTGAAATTGTAATATGATATTTTAATTTATTAAAATAATAATATTGTTATTTTTTAAGCTTAATGTCAATAATAAATCAATCATAAATATACTACGTAAAAACTATAATTTTTTTGATTTTGGAATTGTTTTATATTCTATTTAGAATATATCATTATGTATAAATAGTTATATAGTTTCATAAAGTGTATTGATGTATTTAAAATAGAGAAAGTTTTTTCCAGGAAAAAGTATTTCATTTTCTCTCAACCTACGGGGCATGTACACATTACTGGAGAGACGCAAGACTTGAAAATCTTCAAAGAGGACGTAAAATATGCAATTTATAATTATTGCGAAATATCTACAAGTAATGCAGATAATCATAATACATATATATATATATATACTAGACTAACAGCTATTATATATAAAAGAAAAAAATGTAAGGCTGGAGTAGTAAGAATAATGAAATCAAAATTTAATTGAAAGATTTTGACGATTCAAGAAAGGTTTGGATAATAGTTTAACAAGTTGTTTTAGAGATATTAATATCATGACCGTATATTCGTTTATTTTTGCTTTTAATTGGTTATAAGTTGGATGTTTACTTGTCTCAGTTGAATTTATCTCCGGGCAACATCATATAATATTACTAGTTGTATCTTATATGTTTATAATATATATATCATGTACTGCTGTCATATGACAGAGCGGTGCATCTTTAATAACTTTGGGTTTGCGGTAAGTTTTAAGTGTAATTTAATAGGTAGGTACATGGTAATAATAATAAAACTGTCATAACACGTGTCTGTAATGTAGGCATACATAAACATTAAAGATTTTGTAATCCAGCGTAATTTAAAGTTAGAATATCGTCGCTTTTAAGTTTTAACAGAAACAAAAACTGAGATCAAAACATTTGTAATTATAAACATCACGTCGAGATACGTACACGTAGTAGTTTCAAGGTTTACGGTTTTATATTTTTCCGGGATGGTTTGGGTTTTATAAAGACGCATGGATTTGCAGAGCATTTTAAAATTAAACACCTTCAATATTATTTATTATAAATTGCAAAACATAATAATATATTTAAATATATAATATATATATAGGTACTGTAATATATTTTAAGAAATTCTTTGAGTTACATCACAAACACAAACACATGTAATTAAATTTACTTTTTTTCATCACAAAGGTTTTAAGGTTTAGCGAACTCATATTTTAATACTAATATCTTTATTTTTCATACATAAATATTACACAATAATATGAAAATAAACGTATGAATTAAAACTCTGCAGAATCCTTATAGGGTATATCACGATGTGCGTATAAAAATATTTACGATATTGCTTATAGACATGATGGTATAAATCTGTGTACAACACGATAACATACTTACAGTGTTGCATATCTAGGGCAAATGTGTGTGGGGGGAGAGGGGGGTGGGTGCTATACAGACGTATATATATATATATATAACTCCCCGCAGCAGTCACAAACCAACAGCTCGCCATGAGTTACTGAGTCCAAATGGTTTAGTAAATTACTCGAAATACCGCTGGGGGCTTTTCCAGCTCCCGCGGCTATACAATAGAGTAATAAATGAAAACTAATTTTAGCGTCCCGCGGAGAATTTTTCTCTTGCTACACCATTGCGATAAACTCGCGTTTCCTACTGCAGTTTTAATATCATATAGTGAGCTGCTGGCACGCTACATCATCGCATAATATTATTATTGAATAACTGTGTCTGAAGCACTCACTTGTACTCTTCGGGATCGAGGCCCAGATGACCGAAAAAATTCTCCAACTGACTGGGATCGTATTCGTGTCTATCGTCGGCCTTAGCCACCGCCGTCGGCAATAGACTTAGCAAATTTGGCGCCCGGTGACCCACGTCCGACTTGCTACGCAATATCGGCCGGCCGCGGAACTCGTCGGTCGCCGTCGGCAACTGATGTCGACGTAATGGAACAGCGGGCGGCGACGACGGTTCTTGTCCGGCGATCGCCGCTTCAGCGGTCTGTGCACGCCAGCGGCCATGCGACACGGTAGACTTGACGGGCGATGCGGACGAGCGCGGAGAAACGCCACCGACATTGTCGTCATTTTCCTCTTCGATCGAACTTCCGGTCCCTCCGTGAGCCTTTCGAAGGAAAAAAACACGCACTCATATATATCATGACTTATATTATCATAAATTACACTTATATACGCATAAGGTGCACCGTATTTCTATAGCAATATATATATATATATTCTATTCATGTGTGTGTATTTTATTTCCGTTCTAAAAATTGCACACGACAGCTATTATACAGAATTATTATGATATATATATATTGTAAGATCTATGGACATTTTTATAGGGTTTATTTTTTACAAAATACGCGTATAACGTATCGAAAAACCCGTCGCATCAAATAAAAAACATCACACGTGGCATAACATTAATATGTTTGTAGTAAATCATATACATAATACATTAGTTTAGATTTTTTCCATTGTTTTTATTTTTGTTACGTTTTAAAATTTCGTAGACATATGTACTCATCTTTAATTATATTATATCAATATGTACTGCTAAATGTATATTATATACATATGCTGAAGTTATAAAACTGTATATATTATGTGGATTACCGCATGCGATGATTATTATTCAATTATGTATAACAGGTAGTATATAACGACAACTTTATAAACTACATTAATTAATGACAAATATCAAAGCATATAGAAGTTTCTTTCACAGAAAAATATAGCATGAATATTCAATAATATTATACATAATGTAATTCGTTAAAAATGTATTATTACTCGAATAAATATAAATATATAATTAAAAATGAAAATTGTTTAAAATATTTTTGAACGTTTGGGTGTTAATTTAAATTCTGACAAATAATTTTACTTAAATTTTTTCAACCCCAAAACAATTTAAAATAATCAAACTAAAACAAACAAATATAATATTCAAATATTTACACAATATACGCAATACGTATAACTTATATATTATAATATTATATTGTATGCTCTGTGGCTATTTTCATAATCAACAGTTGTATAATTTATATCTAGTAAATTACACGATGTAACAAGACAATACTATAAATTTCAAGATTAAAAATTATTTAAGTAGGTATTTGGTACTATACAATAATACATTAAAAACACAGAATTTTATTTATTTATACCTCATAATTAAAAATGCCAATTAAATATAAATTGCACTCGTCTGTTGTTAAAAAATAAGAGTCCATAAAAAAATTAGAAACTATTTTGGAGTAGTTTCTATATTAATGATGTACAGGTATATTAGTTATATAAAAGCCAATATTATATCATATATGCAATTCTATAATTGATTGATTATTTATGGTATTTTTGAATTTATATTAACTAATATAATTAAATTAAATTAACTATAGTCTGTAATTAAGGACAAATTTCTAATGAAATTGAAATTTGAAAGGAGAATTCATAACATACTATTATTAATACGTACACTTAACCAACATATACTAATCTATACGTATTATATGTTTCCTTCAGATGAAATATACACATAGTTTAAAATCTTTGAAAATAAAAAAAAGAACGAGAGTAACAGATGATACAGAACGTGTATCAAGTTTTTTTTTATGAAAATAAATTTGAATTGGACAATAAAAAAAAGTAATAATCCAAACATTCTAAACCAGTAATATGACATAATCCTAGGATTCCTAGTACGACAACGGATAATAATTACAGTCGTGTGTGTGTATGAATGAAATATAGTTAAAGAAGTATAAATGTGAATGTACTTATATTAAACACACACACACACACATATATATATATACGTTATAAAATAAGTGGATAAAAATGTCTCTTACAGACTGTTGCCATCTGGCATCCGTTTTATAACTGGTTAGGCTCAATGAATCCGGGAAAGAGGTTACGTTGGTGACCGCGTCCGTTTCGTCTTGTCTGGACTTGTTTCCAAATCTGCAGGGAAAGAAAATTATGGTAGATAAAATAAGGTAATGATCACAAAAAAATTAAAACATAAGTTTTGTTTTATTTATTTTTAGCCGTAAGTTTAATTATTTAAATATTTATTAAATTATATTGCATCTAATATGCATAATATGGTTTTAATTGTTTTCGATAAAAATGTTGATTTATAGAAACGTTTAAATTTATAATTTCATCCAATTTTGAAGTTTGAACTAGAAATTTTCATAAAAAAAAGAATTATTCTCATATAGTTTTTAGATTTTTTTGGTTTCGGTAGTATGATGAACATAATATTAAATCAAAAATATAGCTATAAAAATTGTATATTTTATACGTTTTGAACTGCAAAACAATTTAAAACTTTGACAAAGTATGTCAAAACATAAACTTCAAATACTTAAAAAAATAAATTATGTCTATGTATTGTAAATATTTTTACATATTCATAAAAAAAACTTATATAGAATATTGTAATAAGCTTTCACGTTTTTATCAACATTTATAGAAAACTTATTAAGATTTAGAAAAAATGTCATATACCTACGGTTATACCCTTTTTACTTATCAAAAAATATTTAAAATCCTTTGAGAATAAATAGTAATTTTATGAACGAATATGCAGTATTGTAGATATTTGAACTACAAACGTTCATAAAAAATTAATTTGACTTTCAGATAGAAGTGTTTTCTTTGATGTAGATTTAAAAAATTTACGAATTTACAAAGAACCTTTTATTAAATATTAGATGTGAGTATAAAAACGTTTATTATTTTCTAACTACAAAATAATTTGAAAATTTTCGAAATTTTACGAATTTTGTCGTAATTTTAAATTAAAATTTTTTTATTGGTAACCACGTATAACTTACAAAGAATTATCCAGCATTTTTAACCAGCAATTAATTTTTTATCAACATTAATGATCAAAAAAAAAAAAAAAAAAAAAAAATGGAAATTTTTAATATCTATAAAAATGAGTGAATATATTTCATAATATTAGAAAGACTTGAGTATATTAGAAAAATATAATAATATAAAGCAAATAATGAGTGTCGAATGAGTTTGAACACAAAATAAGTTAGCCGACATAAATTTAAAGATGCATATTTTACATAAAACTATGTTGATAAAAAACGGGGTGTAGATTACAATTACCTATTTACTCAGATAAAGATTTGGGTGCAGTTTACAATCAACACTAAGAACATAATCGGAGAGTTCAGGAGCATACAAGCAGGGTCGGACTGAACAGATGGGATACCGAGTTTCCCGGTGAGCCGCTTGTACTCGTAGGGACTTTTTTTTTAGGTTACACAATTTTTAATCGACACAATTTCACAAAAGAGCTTAAACTTTAAAAAATTACTTAATGTGTATTAATGTGTATTTTGAAGTCTAAAAATATGTATTTTGAATAAAAATTATAACATTTCTTTGTACCAACCAATTTTTAATTTTTTTAATTTTTAATAATGATTTTAAGTGTTCAAATTCTCAAAATAATATACTATCATTTTATATGAAAATTATGTTTTTTCGAGGTTGTTTTTATAGGTTTTCTTAAGTGGGCCGATTTTTTTATTTTACCGGTAGTAATTTTTGATTCTGTCCGGTCCTGCATACAAAGCCATATAAATTAATGTTCTAAAGAATTATTGTTGTGTAGCGTGTAAACTGTAGCCTTACCCTTGAGGAGATGGTATGTTGCAGTAGGTTTCGAATATATCATCGTCGCCATCATCGTTATCATCGTCTCCTACAGTCACAGATCCCGAAGACGCTGAACGACGGCAACGTCGGATCGGGTCGGCTGCCACTGCCGGCGTTGACACATCCGTAATCGTTTCTGTGGCCGTTGTGACATCAGTGAGATCCGGAAGTGATTTGTGGCAAGCGGTTGATGCTCCGCAACAACAGGGTTGATGCTGTTGCTGCTGTTGGTTATGCGATACCGATCGGCGGTACTGCACGGGAGGGGGAACGATGACATCGTCGAGGAACACCTATTCACAATAAAGAGCACGATTCTTAATTTTAAGTTTACCCTTAAAACTTCTTTAATATTAACTATATTCAACACTTAAAATGTATTGTGTATATATATATGTAAACTTGATACATTTCTCTTGAATTTCTTTTACTGCAGGGTAACAATTTATAGTAGATATCTATACTTATGAAATAATATCAGGTGATTAGTCCCCTCCCCACTAATAATTTTACTGTATGGATATTACAAATTTTAAAATGTTTACTAAAGATGGTTTTTCGATATTTTCATGACTACAAATGTTTTATTTTCATAAGTTCTACCCTTTCTCCCGCACATCTGCTCAGTATAATAATCCAACACTAATATACTGTATTAATTTTAATTAATGTAATGTCCTTTTGGAAAAAGTAATAACTAATAAGTATATTGTATTATATTACTTACATTTATGTTGTTTCATTTATTGTTTTATATTTATATATATAGTAACCAACAAGTATCAGTCGAAATTTTTGAAAAAAAAATTGGCTGTCAATCAGATTTTGACCGTAACCTACACCTATTATCCTATTCATATATTATAATATTATATACTACCACGGCACTTTGCCATGTGGTGTGAAAACAAAATAAATCGACCGAAGTGCAACAATGTGCAGATGTCATTATTTCGTACTCCATTGTTTGATATAGAATTTTTTTGCTGCGAGATTTTATTAAATTCGCGCATCAGTTGTTTTGACTTTTCACGCAATATTTTTTTTTATGCTTATAAAATATCCAGACGGTCAGCTAAAATGAAATAGGTCGTCTGGCATTGTAAAGTTACATGACTTAAAAAAAAAAAATTAAATTAAAAAAATTGAGCTATATCATTGATTTTAGAATATATTCTTAAATCAATGGCTATAATAATACTTAAGTATACGATGTACATACCTATACAAGAAATCATTACATTTTAACCGTATGAAATTTAACAGAAATACATTTGTTTTTTATAAAATATACATAAATAAATTATTATTTAAAATAGTTGCAATTAAATAGTAAAATTACACTTATATTTCGCGCTAATATCTAATAAATAATAAGTCATGAGTTATTTCATTAAGAATTTAAACAATTATATAAAATATTAAAATACTGCGGAATACTTACCGAAGTTGCTTCGAATAAGTTTTCTTTAGAGTCAGCATTCAATAGACGTCTGAGATCGTTTTGTAGTTGTTGTGAGTCCGCTGTGGACTTTCTTTGACATCCAGCTACTAGTCGAGGGCTTTTAGGTGGCGGCAGACAAGTAAAGCTTCCACTCGACCAATTACAGCAGTTACCTACGCAGACGTTTTTTATATAATATAATAAGTCACTAATTGATTAATTCCTTTAAATTCGGCTATACATTTTAGTTTATCAAATTAATCTAGTTATAAGTTTTCACAACAAATTTAAATATATTATGTCACGAAAACAAACCATTTATTACGTAATTTTTGTAAACATGATTTATGTTTTAAATGCATCTTTATATTAGCAATTCAAAATTGTATCTAGATTAAACGCGTTACTCATGAAAATCATTTTAAAACAAAATATGAAAATTACATAAGTTAAAAATTTAATTTTAAATATTTTTATTTTATACTTTATCTTAGAAGTGATTATTAATAAATAATAATAATTATATATTATATATTAATTTAGGTATACCTATAAATTACTTGAATTCATTATTAAAATAAAAATGTATTTATTTAACGTAATCGGAAATTTAAAAAATATTAAAACTATAGATTTGATTGATATATATTCAACGTAATAATTGGAAAACGATGAAGGATTGTACCTTTATAATTATAACAACCGGAAGCTATGTCATGTGATGATGAACCCTTGTCGGAAGAACCGCTGCTTCGGAGACTCCTTCTGAGTTCTTGTTTCCTGTCGAGCACTGTTTCCGATTTGACGTAAAGCGATTTTGTCTCTTGTAATAGTTCTACGGCACTCTTTCGTTTCGCTGAAATCAAAAATATAAAATATTAACTCTGTCTGAAAAATAAAACTCATGAATCAGTTCTCGCCAATAATATTGGTATGCACCGTTATTTAATACACTAAATATAATAAAAAAACTATAGTATATAATATATTTAGTACCTATTATAGTATTATGTAATATTATGTACAGGTACACAGTTTTTTGGATCACTGCTCATTGAGTAGCGATACTTTACACATTATGCATTATGTTTATATAAACTACACTGCAGTGTTCCGACTTCCTTCCTGTTTTATGTTTTGAATACATTTTTTTGTATTGTATACTACTATAATTTTTTGATAAATTATTCTAATGTTTCCATATTCAGTGTTGCAGCACGAGCCATATCGATTTCCTATGTCAACGACATAAACAAGCGGACATCACATTACGATTACACAAGTGTAAATCGATAGACCGTGAACTCCAGGTATTTTGGACCATCCAACTGGAAAACAATACTTAACGTAAATGCTTAATTTTGAGCACTTCCTCTCTGGTTGGGAAAACGAAGCAGCTGATCGGAAGCTATACGTGAATTAAAGTGATTTTTTTTCAAATTGCTTGTTCCATCCGCTATTAGTGAAAGTGATATCGTTTATTGAACCGTTAGAAATTGAATAAACCACATTTTGTGGTTTATCGTGTCCACAGTGAAAAATCGAAGATTGAATTTCACCGGGAATAAGTGTTTTTAATGTTCATTAAAATTTGAAGACGAAATATGTTAAACCCATGAATCATTTTGTAAGCATATAGGCTAACAATAATCTCCACTCAATATTATTTTTATCCCATAAATATACTGATTAATTAAATAAAATTTAATTCTAATACATCCATTACAATCATCTAGATTCTAGATAACTAGAACTTTTATAAATTTAAAATTATTTTGAATTAATATGTTATGTTTTTTAAGGTTATCGGAACTGGCTAATTATTAAGGGAAAAAATTCAGTTGATTTTTAGTTACATTATACGCTAAGACATAAAAGACATAATTGCACTTCGTAAATTGTCGAATTTTAATTATTTATTGTTTTAAAAGAGGATAATTTTATTCAGGATATTCAGATTGTATACAATAGTTTTAATTTTTATTAAAATTAAATAGTATTAGAAAAATATTATTTTTACGAATAAATAAAATTGTTATTAAAAACAAATGAATACAAAAATCGTAATGTAGTTAAATTTATTGTTTTCAGTATTGTATGGTATACATTTTTCAAATTTCTATTTTAGAATTAAAAAATTATTTTTAAATATTCAAAAGTTGAAAAAATCTAATTTTGATAAGTCTTTTAAAGTAAATATGTTTATACACGTCATATTTAAAAAATGTTTTATACTTAATTTTGATAACTCATATTAACCTATTCATTTTTCCCGCGAGTCTCCTTTACCTATCCTGTAGATATAAGAAATGAATACATAATTAGAGACCGTGTAAACGTGTCTTTGAACGTTATTGCAAAATGCAATTATTAGAGTATTATAGGTACTATCTAATCATAGTCATTACAGTAGTATTATTAATAATATATTTTCACCCATTTCTAAGTCGGGCAATTAAGTCGCTGACATTTAAGAGTTATATTTTCACAAGCAATAAGTACCTACACTTAAAAATAGTATATCAATATTTACTTTGAAATAAGCAATAAACGAAACATAACGACTATTATATTTCATTTTTAGTTATTTCTTTCTATTGAACAAATGGCTATTTGTTATCTGATATTTATCTGTAACTTTTTCTCATACCACACTTAAATAGTAATTTATTAATGCACTGTACTACACGCTCAAGTTATTGAAGTAATACCAATAACCTTTTAGAAAATTATGAGAAAGGAATCAAAATTATTGGGTGCAACACGATTGCGAACGTTTTACCTATTTCATAGTACAATTGCAAACGAATGCCGCTTATCAAAAAATTAATCTTTTTAGCCAAAAAACAAACGATTGCGAATGTTTTTAGAGACTACGTTGCCAATTTTATAATTCTTGAATATGTTTTATTTTGTTCGAGAATTCAATTAAATTTTTTTTTAAATAAAAATTATTCGATATTAATAATACAATATTATACATTACAGCTACGTTACAAACTAAAATAAAACTATATAAAATAATATGAAGTGTTTAAAATGTTGATAAATTAAAATAATGTCGGAGTATAAATATTAATAATACTGTTACATAATGTATAAACTAAAAAAAAAAAATAATAATAATGAAAAATTAACAGTTTTTAAATTTTTTTTTTTAAAATATTTTCTTAGTTAGGAATTTCCATTTTTTTGTAAATATAAAATTAGATCCTTGTGGATTTTATAAATTATAATTATTATAATTTTTAATGTAAATTCAATTTTAGATTTATCTTTTTTGTCAATAGGGTTATGTAAATTGTTTTGACAGCATAATAGCAGAAAACCCTTATATCTACTATTTAATTATTTTAAAAATTATTATTTAAAAACTTGTAATTGACTAACATAAAATCTGGTAAAAACACACGATTAAAGGTAAGTAAAAATGTTTGCAAACGTGTTACCGGGAAAAGGTCCGTTCGCAATCTTTTATCACCCAAATTATTAGTTTGTTAGGATTCTAATTTATATATTATAAGTTATAACTAATTATGAAAATGAAACATTTAATTTGCGACTAACATTGCTTGTAATCGAAATTTCGATTATATTGCACTGGTTTTGTTTTACTTGCAAACTCGAAGTTACACAATGGTATACTTAACACGCATTAGACTTATTGATTAAAACGCATTCCCCATGTAGCTTAGTATGTCCTATACCTTTGCTCGGCTAGTGTATTATTAGTATACATATCCATTTTGATAGCGGATTATTCAATCCGTTCGTTAAATTATGGTAGTTACGATGGAGGAGGGATGAAGAGCATAGATTAGAAAAACGTGAGCATGTAAACAACAGAGGTACAAATGATATAATAGAAAATAACAATTAAAACGATATTATTTATATATATATATATATATATATATATATATATATATATACCTCTACGGCTTTACGTTATAACGACGTTAAGATAATAACATCACATAATATATTATTATGATAATCTCACCAGTGCATTGTGGCCGGTACGACGACGCCTGTCCTTTTTCCGTCCGAAGAATGGCGTTCGTGACGTTTAGCGTTTTTAAAGGTTGTCCGGGTTGCTGGCGTACGTAACTGCTGCAAGCTGACGACAACGTTGCCATGTCACTGGCTTAAACGGAATGCCGGATGCATCGCCGCCGGACTTGTGACCTGGAACAATGCACACATGACGATGTAATAATAATAATATAACCAAAAACGAACGTGTTAATTCCAGATCGAAAAAGAGAACGCACCCTCCTGCGTGCCATGTCATAATAACGTAATATAATATATAATGCGATGGCCCGCAGTGTATCGTAAACGTACTTGTGCACGTTAACGTCGTATACGCGGGAGGTTGGGTATTAAATATTATTATTATTATTATTATTATTAACATTATATTATATAAGAACGGACGACTATGGAATGGACAGTACAACGAGGTATACATATAATTTATGGGTGTATCGTATATAATGTACCTTGGTACGATTCATTTTTGTTTTTCCGTTTTCGTGATTGTATGACGTTGCTTAAAAAATAATATTTTTATTCTTTATCGTATTAAATACATTTAAACGCAATTGTTCGTTGGTAAAAATGTGTTATTCTTCTATTTTTTTATAATATATAATACACACAACCCTTATTTATTTTTTTAAAAAGGTATTTTGTTTGTTCTCGTTGTACGTCTTTCCAATTTCCGGGCACCGAAATTTTACTCGCAGTCACATATATATGTACTATGTAGGCACAATGTACCTATTATATGTCAAAGACTCAACAAACATTGAATATGTCTATATCATGGTAGGTACCTATACTTATTTACAACCGGTATGAAACAGCTATCGTATAGGCTGTTTTATAATAATTGAAAGCTCAATACCAAATTTTGAATATATTATTAATGGTTGAATTTCGTCCAATAACAAATCTAGTACAGTGCTAAATTATTATTATTATTATTATTATTATTATTATTATAGTGGAAAATTATTTTGGTCTCAATTACGTGTTATTTTTCGGACTCGATTAGGTTATTTTTCGACCGAATTAAGTATGAATTCGGATCCACGAGATTAAACTACAAGACACACAAGCATATACGTACGTTATATATATATAAATAGTATATATAATATATACACATTTTAGTATGATACACATAATGATGATAATGTAAGCACTTGTAATACACCGGATGGCGATACCCATTATCTTAACTCCGGTATTATCACATTTTGTGCAAGTAACTCTACACAGTCTATACCGATTTATTTTTTCTCTAAGCCCGAATAGAGATGAAATTTTATATTATGTTTATTACTTATTGAGTGGTTACAGTTTTAGAAGCTGATCATTCGATGGGTGGCCATGCTATAACATCATAATCTTATTCTGAATTGGACACACTCGGTGTACATCGCGTACGCCGCAGCATAGATCGATTAATATATAGTATTATTATACACGGTAACTGTTTTATTATACGTAGGTAGGTACCTGCACAACGCGTCACACGGAAATTATGATCGAACGGACCGGCTCGACGGCGACCGCGATCATCTATGGGAACCGAATAACCGCGTGATAGAAAGGTCGTAGTAATGAATGAACGTGTAAGATGATGATGAAGGGCAGGGAAATACCGCTTTAGACGACTATCACACGGTATTGTGCACAGCGTGCTTTTAACCCGTTCACCGATTGTGAACAATAATATTATTCATCACACACGGCATCAGACGGCATGCAGTACACAAACCTGTCTGGATATATATATATAATATACACGTCAATGGCCTCTTGTACGAGGTGATTCACTATTTTTTTCTATAATAATTAATTTACACAAATTTTGACAAGCGATTTCTTTTATTTTAAAAGGCTACATTTCCAAAATTGTTAAGATTTTTTTAAACCATTTAAGGAGTGTCGTGTGGTGAGTCAAATTGTTTTTTTAAATGATAACCAACTATGAATGATTTTTTTTTTTTTTTTGAACATTTTGACTTTATTAAATTTAAAATTTGAATGAATCGTTTCCGAATAATTAAAATGTAAATACGAATATATATATATATATATATATATATATATGTATAATATAACATAAATAGGCAATAAGTATAATATTATAATAATTAGAGATGGTTTTACAAAAATATAAAATAGATTCAATATTTATTTTTTTCGGATGATTTTTAAAAATTATAAAATACTAATGAATTAATATCAAGTATTACTATTTTCAAATCATTATATATAGCGTCCAAACCGTATAGCTACACATCTCTCGCCTCATATCACCATCTCAATCCCTGTCTCTCGTATAATCAATCAAGTACGACAACTCTTAAAAAGTCATACGCATTACGCATATTCATATTTTATTAATAATTATGTATTCTGTATGAGTGTGGCACATTATGTGTCATCAGCGATCTGCCTCTACGGGGCTGATCTGCGTAGTTTTCCATCCATACATTTGTATAGTGCGTATATATAATGCACTATGCACTTGAACAACAATAGAGTACTACGATACAAAACAGAAGTGAAGAGTCGACTAGCTTGATTAAATTATTTTAATTAATTTTTTCATAGGTAGGTACTAGGTATATATAATTTTTCTAAATGTGTAAAAAAAATTGAAAATGCATATTTTTTTTCAGAAAATGATACTATTTTTAGTGGTAGCCTTCAGTTATTCGTTTCATAATTTGAAAATTGTAAAAATAATATAAAACAAATTTATAGTATAACGTTTTAGCAATCAATTGAAATAATATATCTGATCAAAATATCTTTTTTTTAAATTCTTGTAAGAACAATTTCTTATTAAATATTATTAAATTAATATTTATATAAATAGTAATTTAACTATACTAACTAATATTTTACGTCATTTTAGCTATTTAAATATGACTTGTACTTTTATTTGAGTACAGAAAGACATAATTTTTTAATTCATTAGTGATATATTCAAGTTTTTTTTAATAATAGTAAAGCAAGTATATCAATCGTCGTATGGAATACAACAAATATAAGTACACTGTACATTTCATTATTTACAATCACAAAAGATAAAAAATTGTTTTTGATAATATTTATTTTATTATTACAAAACAATATTTAAAAAAAATTATTTTATTAGAATCAGATTATTATTTTAATAAAAATAAGTAAAAAAAATCAGTTAAAAAGATATTAAATCCCAAGATAATTTTGGTATAAGATATTTTGACAAAGATATTAAGACTTAAAGCTTAAAATTGTATTTATATAACAAATATACTCAATTTCTTCGCTTGTTCCTTATAAATTATAATTAATTATCTTTAATAATAAAGAACAATTAATTATACAACTTATACTGAAAATTATATTATTTTTTTAAAAGTATTCAACTCCAAAGTTAAATTAAAAAATAGTAGGTAATAGTTATTAAAAAAAAGAACACAACTTAATATAAATGTATCAAATAAAAGTTAAATACTATAACTTTATCTAAAAATATATTTTATCTGATTTGAATATTTCTAGACAAGTATGGTTTTGTTTGAAAAAACGGACTATCTGACGTTAAAAATGAATTTGTTCGTATATATAACTTTAAAAAAATACAAAACCAATGCTTCACTTATTATTTACGTGCCTTATCTCGTCCAAACGATCCTTTTATGTCAATTATTCAAGTATCTTTTATTGATTTTATTGTTTAAAATGATAACTTATATATTATATGATTTCGACGAGTTTTTGAAAACTGTATGGTTTTATACTTTTTATTTCTGAGTATTATTTCACTGCACAGCACACGACTTTATTCAACAAGTAATGACACGTGTTTGTTATTTCAACATTAAGGCCGTCGCTAAATTCATTGACGTGTATATACAAAAAAAGATTATACTTAAGGTTTAACGGTGGCTTGGAAGTCGTATGATAGGATTATTGTATGGACTGTATACATAAGTATATACTGTTTTATTGAGGGAACATAATGGTAATCAAGTATCATTCACAAAAGCCATTGAAAAACAACTTTCCTCCTTCACAGATAATTTTAATCTGCTTTATATCTTTATTTGTGCATAAATAAATATATAATTCAGTTATTGAATAATAAATAAATACATTTTTGAAACCTCTGCATTTTTTAAAAATCTTTATTTAATTCAATTTATTTTAATTAAAAAAATTACGGGTAATAATTGAATACCATTTGAAAAAATTATAATATAATACTTACAGTGATCAATTTTTTGGTCTGCGCCTCCGACAAAAAAAAATATTTATGCTACGGCCTCCATGAAAGTTATAAAATATAAATTAAATATTTGATTTTATATAATTATTTAATTATATTGATAAATGAAATAGTAACTTATTTTGTGTATTAAAAATAACTAATGTGAACAATTTTCGTTTCTGAAGTTGATACTTCAGTTGATAAATTTAATAATACAATTGAGAAGTTCATTAATGATATTTCAAAAATCTCTACCTTTTTCAATTATCAAGTAAAAATATCAAAAAAACTTAAATTTTGGTAAACAAAAAGATTTTTTGTTTTGATTTATAATTGATATAAATTATATATAAGAAAGCAAAAGGGTCATTTTGATTTTAAATTGAAAAGTTTCTATATTAATTATAGAAATATATAAAATTCATTGATAAAAAATCATGTAACTTATACCAGTATTACAATAATGAATTTATTTTATTTAAAAATAACCTAGAAATTAAAATATTAAACTACATATACCTTCTACCAAAAAAGGAGAACCTCCAATTCATTAATTCATTGTGTTGAAAGTAATTCCATTAAAACTATATTGACTAAAAAACAGACATTTTAAATGAATTTAATATTATTTTGCTTAATTATGGTAAATATATTTTGGATTACATTTTAAAAATAATTTTGATAAATTGAGTTGGAATCTCATGAATAATAATTACCACATAAGTCACTCATTACTTCTCGGCTCCATAAATCTATTGGAAATTTCCAACTTATTAAAAAAAAAACTCATAAATCCTTTTTTTATATTAATGGTTTGTTTATAACTTTATTTCAAAACAAACAACAGACTCTATCTTTACTTCACTCTTTATTATTTTTAGTAGAGCACTAATTACTGAAAAATATC